ATGGAGAAAAGGTCCTGGGGTCTGAGATTTCTCACTTGGCAATGATACTGGCTTGAATATTATTCACAGACCCAAATCCCTGGGTCTTGTGTGGGACAAACAGACAGTAGGACTGCAGGAAGTGAGAACTGAACAGAGAGAGCAGCAGAAAGGAAGGCAGAGGACTTGAGGGAGGGGATGAAGAAGAGACACAGACCAACCCCTCCTCTCCCTCAGCCACCCACCTGGGGAAGCACTCCTTGCCGTGTTAGAGAAGACGACGGGGAAAGGCAGAAGTGTGTGCATAGGGTGAGACGTGTGTTGGGTGGACAGAAAAACTCCTTTCCCTCAATGGGACTCCAGTAGCTCACCTCACTCTACTGCACATTCCTGAGCAGAGGGGCGCCCTGCCGGGATGAACACAGCTCTTCCTTTCTCCAGTTCCTGAGTCCGCCCGCCATGACCAGGGCTGGAATCCTCAAACTCCCTTCCCAGAGCCCAGCGACCCCTCTGCACTGGAGAAACATCCGTGTTCCACAGTGGGTTTCAAGGACCTCGCCCCTCAGCTCCCCAGCTGCCTTGTGACTCTGGGCCTCTGCTATCTTAGAATAAACAGGGAGAGGCCACTGGCCTGGCCGCAGGAAAGTGGCAGCTTCATGTTCCTAAGGGCAGTCCCAGCGTAAGGCTTCGGGCTGCGGGTCAGTGTACTGTATTTCACTCTGATTCTTGGAAAAATCTCTAACTCTGGGACCCTGATCACCATTCCCTCTTGAGTGGCACCCGCCCATAGACACCCCCCACAGCAAACCCTCCCTAATGAAAACCATGTGCCCCTGATTCTTAGGATTCCCTGTTGCCCTTCTGGACTCCGACAGTCCCTCTCTGTCTGCCGATCCCCTCGGCCCACACATTCACAGGAGGGTTTGGAGTAAGACGCCTGCATCCTGGAGGGGCGCATTTTCCAGGGGGTGGAGCTGGGCAGGCCAGGATACCGGTGTCACAGGGCAGGCCCCGGCTTGAGGAGGAGGGAGGTGGGGGGCGACGGCGCCATCGGATAGGGGTGGGGTCTGCAGGAGCCCAGGACCAGGCAGAGGACGCGCCTCCCCGGGACCGGCGCTGCGCGCTGCCCTCCAAGGCCCCACTGGGGCGAGGCTGGGGGTCGCCCAGGGCGGGAATCCACCGCGAGGGTGAGAACTTTAAAAAGTGCGTGGCGGGAGGAGGGGACGGGCAAGGGTTTTTTTTTTTTTTAAGAAGCGGTTTCACCATATTGGTTAGGCTGGTCTTGAACTCCTGACCTCAGGTGATCCGCCCGCCTCAGCCTCCCAAAGTGCTAGTATTACAGGCGTGAGCCACCACGCCCGGCGTGGGAAAGGGTTTTAAGCGGGAGGAAGACGCTAAAGGCCGGGGAGAGGGAGCAGCCTCCGAGCTACTTCAACCCAACGGGAAGCGACTCGGGACCCACACCGCGAGGCCTGTATTCACCTGGGGTGGAGGGCGCGGTGCGGGGGTCTTAAGGCCCGCAGCGCCCCCGGGGACCGGCTGCGGACATGGGAAACAAGGTGCGCAGGTTTAATCTGCACAGAGGGACACTCACGCTCGGCGCCGTCACCTTCCCCCAACACGATCAGTTTCTGGGACTGCAGAAAACTGCGCGTGCGCGAAGAGCCCGGGCAGCCCGGGGGCAGGGTTGGGTGGGCGGGGCCGTCTTGGGTGGGCGGGGCTGAGGGCGGGGCTGGGGCTGGGGCGGGGCCTGCGCCATTTTAAGGTGAAAAAGCACAGAGTTGTGTGGGCCACTTGTGTTGGAAACCAAACCGTTTTCCATTTACCAAGTTGAAAACGGTTTATGATCCTGCTAGGGAGTCTCCTGCAGCTTAGCAGTTCGGGAACTGGGATTTCGGTGGGGGATCCAAGACTAGCGGTGATTGGATCCATGAAAGTTACCAAAAAACAAAAATAAAGTGTCTGGGATCACTCTGTTGGATTTCAAGACTTCCAACATAGGAAAAGTAATAAAAATTGTGTGGCATTTGGGGCAATAAAAGATATGGATCGCCGGGCGCGGTGGCTCAAGCCTGTAATCCCAGCACTTTGGGAGGCCGAGGCGGGTGGATCACGAGGTCAAGAGATCGAGACCATCCTGGTCAACATGGTGAAACCCCGTCTCT